GACTTAGGGATGATCCTCCATGGATCAGGTTAGTTGAGTGAGCTCGCAAGCATTTCTCATCCCATTTTGATTAATCCGATTGTTGACCGGTGGACTTTGAAGTTTTTAGTGTGCTCCATTTTCAGAATCGGGCAAACCGATGTGGGTATTTTTCCCGATAGGCGTTGCTTATCATCGGAAATGGGCGTGCTTCATCATCTGTTCATGATTGGATCTCGGTGCTGACTGGGCTGAGAGCTCCACAGCGAAAAGCTTGATTATCTCACAAGGATGTATTTCCCGTCGGTATGGCGGCGGCTTAACCTTTTTGAAAACGTGCCAAGTTGGCGGACGTAACGTAGGTTGTGGGTATATTCGAGGTAGTAGTGGAAAAACATACTCATGACGAAGTAAAGGCACGATGATCTGGTCGAATTGTTGATACATATACTCGTTTGTTGATGACGAGTGTGTTGCAAAGTGGTGTGTGTATCAATGGAAGTCCAAGATTACCGTGGTTATCATCTATGATTGTCTGTGACTATCTGCGACTATCTGTGACAATGAGACAATGTATGTTATCGCAAAGACCTCGGCCGTACTTTCCCATTTGAAAAAGTATGGAGGGGTGGGGGAAATGTCTCAAACCATTTTTGAACATTTTGCTCCATCCAAAATCCACTTCCCCACCACCTGATAAATAAATACTGATTATTGGATGGAAGTTTCTAGTATCGACGCTTTATTCCTCGTAGTACAGCTCACAACGTCACAATCTCTCGAGCCACCATTAAATAAAAGATCAAATACGGCGTGTGTATCAATCTCATCACATGCAGCTCAACGGCTTGCTTGTTGGTTGCATCGCAACAACACGATGGGTTGATGGAAGATATGCTTGAGCCTTGAGCTGAGCACCTGCCAGATTTGATTTGTGTTTGACAGATGAGTGGCAGAACTCTAGAATCCTAGGTATGCAATCAGAGAAATTGGAAGGGATCATCAGGTTCAACCTCAATGGAGTGGCAAGCCTTGTATCGCAGTCTGACAAATGCATTGCTAGTGTATCTGAATGGATTCACTGCAACTAAAAAGATGCTTGCTGCAGGAGAGTCTGAATGTTACCCTACTTCCTACATACCCAGGTATGCACTTGCTTCTACTGAGGGGCAAGTGAATACAGAAGAATAAATATGATGTTATTCGACAACTAGGTATGCAAATGCCAATACGGTAGGCGTATTTAGATTCAAAGTTAATTACCCCTAGCACACGAAGCTTGACTTTATTTCGACGGTATTACCTATTACTTACCCTGTCCCATTCTAGGACCCCCAGACATTTCGGCAAGCGCTGGGTTCGGTTGAGCTAACTAGTAAATATCCATGATCCTTCACTCAATCAAAAGTTCGCACATTGTTCTGTTCATTTAAGACTTCTTGTCTACCCAGTTTTTGAGAACTTTGTCTTCAGTCTTCCTCAATATCCCCCATTGAAAATATAAGTCGAGGTTCTTGTGCGACCATCATTTGAGGAAAATGTTTAATCGCAGCAAGAAATCTGCGGCTGATGCCAATGATCTTGCTATCGATTCCAATTCGAGTCCGCAGAACCATGAAGACCCTCTCGCCAATATCCCAAAGACAAAATGGGAAAAACTCTGGCCAGCTATGGCCTGTGGTTCGGGATTGTTCTCTGATGGATACATCAATAACGTATGCTAATTCCAGCCACAAGTTCGGTTATGATAAACATACTAATGTGTGCGTACAGGTAATCGGATCAGTATCTACTATGCTCGGAATAATCTACGGAGACGTATACACAAAATCTGCCGCCGTGAAAAACATTTCCGCAATCACATTTGCTGGTACGGTTGCTGGTATGCTCATATTTGGTTATACCAGTGATAAATGGGGCAGAGCAAACACACTCACGCTGTCCACGGTAATTCTTATCGTCTTCGCTGCTCTTGGCGCTGGTTCATATGGATACCACGAAAGTGTACAGGGTCTATTCGCTGCACTTGCTGCTTATCGTTTTCTGGTCGGAGTCGGTATTGGAGGAGAATATCCGGCTGGATCTGTCGGTTGCTCCGAAGCTTCTGGAGAATTAAAAGAGGGTACCCGAAACAGATGGTTTATCATCTTCACGAACGTTATGATTGATTTCGGTTTTGTCATCGGCGCTTTTGTTCCATATTTATTGGTTGTCATTTGTACAGAAGACCATTTGCGAGCTGCATGGAGAATCTCACTTGGACTCGGTGTAATCCCACCATTGCTTTTGTTCTATCTTCGATTAAAATTGAAGGAGCCAGAAGAGTTTCAAAGGTGTGTGCCATGGCTGTTGAATGCTCCTCGAACTCGCTAATCATAAACAGAGAGAGCATGAAAAATGCCAAAATTCCCTATGGTCTTGTAATTAAGTACTATTGGTTTAGGCTATTAATAGTTTCCTTGATTTGGTTCATCTACGATGTATGTGAATATTCAAATCATAAAATTGGTTTACACTAACACATAACCATAGTTCTCAACCTACTCATTTGGCATTTACTCCTCTAAAATTCTCAGTAACATTTACGGAGATACGGCGCCACTATCTCAATCATTCGGTTGGAATACCGTTATCAATCTCTTCTATATTCCTGGCGCTGTTCTCGGTTCTTTCTTCTCCGATATGATCGGACCTCGCTATGCTCTTGCCATAGGAGTCACATTGCAGGGTATTGTTGGCTTCATCATGTCCGGCTTGTACCCAGTTTTATCTCAAGTCAAGAATGTCCCCGCATTTGTCGTCGTGTACGGAATCTTCCTTTCCCTCGGTGAACTCGGTCCTGGTGACAACATTGGACTACTCGCGTCCAAAACTTCGGCGACAGGTGTTAGAGGACAATACTATGCCATTGCAGCCGCTATTGGTAAAGTTGGTGCCTTTGTTGGTACTTATGTTTTCCCATATATCGAGGCAGCCGGTGGCAGTGGAAATGCTTCTGCGCAGTATCCATTTTACGTCTCGAGTTCGGGGTGTATTTTGAGTGCAGTTTTAGCGCTCTTTTGTTTACCACATATTGGCCAAGATACTATCACAACGGAAGATGCAGCTTTCAGAGAGTATCTGGAGAGTAAGGGATGGGATACCAATCAAATGGGTTTGGGAAAAGTGGATAATATTGAAGAGTCTCCTATCAGACAGGAGATTGGAGAAAAGCAGTAGGAGACTGTTTCTTCCTTGTGAGAGGAGAGGGGTAGCTTTAATGAGTAAGGAGTGGACTGATGGCTATAAACAGAGGAGAGTTAGACATGGGGAAGAAGTATGTAATGAAGTAATGACCTCGTAGAGAGATACCTACCTAATGATACTATTAATCGTCAATCTTCTGAAAATAATTGTCATTTGTTTCATCCGATGTCTACATGTGACGCTTTAGTGCTCATGTAGTGGTAGAAGAAGATATTGATTATAGCTACGTAGTAGATGAAAATACTCCACGTTATTAGAGTAGTACTCGACCTCTCTGCTTTCATACTTCGTGCGTGTCTTTTACTTTATGTTTCATGCTCATTAATGAGCCTTTTGCTTTATTTATCTTACTCTTTTTTGAAGTTTATGATTTATGATTCATAATTTATTACTGCTGAGTCCTGACTCTTGAGTTTGTGTGGAGGTGTGGAGAAGATTGATGTGGAGAAGATTGATAGGATGGATGGGATGGGATGGATTGTTTGCAGATAGTGTGGAATCTGGAGTCTGGGGTTGAGATTGGGATATGGTGGTTTGTGCTTTTGTGCTTTTGTATTTTGGTAGTGTGTTAGTTTTGTATAGGAGAGCTGGGATTTTGAAGAATGAGTGGGTGGGTAAATTGGAAGTGGGGTGGTGGATGGAGGGGGTAGGTACAGCGATGGGGTACATCGAGAGGGTGTTTTCTTGAATGGAGTCTATCCCCTAGAGTGCGGGCGAATGGCGCTCATTGTGATCCGTGCAATATACTTTGTATGAAGAAATATGATTGGTTAGATTGGCTTTTGTAATGCTTTTTTAATCACTCTGTTTATAAAGAGGAATTTTGATTTCAAATTATAATTTTCTAAAAAAATTAAAAAGGTAAAGATCAGAAATTAATATGTGTTATTTTCTTCAAAGTTTTAAAACAGAAATAATATTCAAAGGATTTTATATTAGAGATTGAATGTGAATATGTGATTAAATTCCAAGTATCCTGATGTTCTGATTGGTCACTAAGATCCCCTTTAGGCGAGGGCGCCGAATGTCCGCACTCTAGGGGCTATCATAGAGTAAAGTCATAAGATAGAGATTGTGGGATGGAAGTCGTGGGGTTTTCATGGGAGAGCATATATGGTAGAACATGGATTGCGGAGAAAATTAGTAATTAGGAATTAGAGGAGTTAGGGGGAGGGGAAAGTGGATATTAGGAGCTGGGAGTTGGGAGTAGGAGAGCAAAGCAGTATAGCTAGAGATGTTTAGACACGGGGCAGGACTACGTAGGTTTGTAGATTTGTAATCTTGTGTTTAATGGAGGGAGATTTGGAAAGGAGTTGTATCTGTATGGCGAGGGGAACGGGCAGATGTTCTGTCAAGGGAATGATGAGGGGAGTATGGGGAAGAAGGAGAAGAAGAAGAAGGAAATCTGAGCTTATAGCATGTGTCTGTGCGAATTCAATCATTATTGAATTCTTTGTTCTCATGTGGATCTGACGTACAGTTGTACCCTGATGTTCTGTAGAATTTTGGATCTGAATGGCTTTGATATTTCGATCGTTTGAGTGTTCACAGTTATTTCAATATTCAAAATCAGTCCAAAAACCCCTGGATGTTCAGAACTGTTTAATGTTCAAATGCAGTCGGATAAATCAGATTGCTAACTCCAAGATACGTTGATACTCCAAAAATTTCCAGTGTTCTCGTTTACCACTTCAATGCCTCAAATGAAACCAAGATTGCAGTTCAAAAAAAGTATGGACGATAAGATTTCTGACAAGCCAGTCTGCTGTGGAGTTCTATATGATCGTAATCTCGCGCAAATCTGCAGATCCCCTTTTAAAGACCAGTGAGTCATCCCCTGTCTGTTCAATATCACCAAGAGTTGATAGAAATGGATCTTCTATGGAAACCTTCCTGGTGTGGTGCCCATTTTCGACTGGAATGGATTTAGAGTACTCCAACAGTCCCACACGGCGATATTCGTTATTAGTGACATCAACGCACTCGAGGATAAGGCTATTGATAATTAACAGCCTCCCGAAGAATTGCAGATGGAGAGGCAGACAGATTAATTGATTTGTTGAAAACTTAGTTCTTATGTTGGCCTCATTCTCTAATATCATTGCAAAGTTGAGTTTGCCATTGAAGAGGACTCTGTTTTGTCCTGATTTTTTTTCTTCGTCTAAGACCCCAAGATTGATCATTTGTCCTAGAAGGTTTAGATGACCGCCTTGGACTTGACCAAATTCATCTTCGCCGACAAGATCTATGACCACTTCGAGGATCTCTACTAGCGGACTATATAGGTTAGAGATAACCAGGTCGGGAAATTGAACCACCCCATCGATTGAAGCCCAAGACCATGATGGCGCTCGATATACCATCAATGGAATGACAGAATCATAACTCCGCCATGCTAGTTGCAATACAAGATGAGCTTCCCAAAGACCAGCAAGATATCGACATCTCCATAGGGGCTGTAATTCCCTTGCTATGGCGGAAATTGCAATGAGCTTGTCGGAGCCTTTACTTAATTTTCCCATTGTATAAGCGGATATTACTGAACCCCAAATTTCAAAAGCATCGTCGAAGCGCTGGCGTTCTTGTGACAGTGTCTCTATCTCGGAATTCAGATCAGTGAGATTTTGATCCTGATGTTGACAGGGGCTTAGGGTTTTGAAATTTGCTGCTTCCTTTCGAGGGATTTCAAATGGTGACGATTCAGAGGCTTGTAACTCTGCACATTCCCAAAAGAGCTGTCTGCCTGAAAAATAGAGAACTCGGGGGCTGAGAAGGCGCTAGATTATCTTCTTAGAATAACAGATTAAGTGAGTATATTGGTCTAGTGCAATGTACATGCCTCTTGAACAACCCAAGAGCGCTGGTTTACAGGGGCATTACTGATGTCCCTGTACCAGTGTGACTCTTCTAGAATGTCATAATAACCTTATAGAGCTTTAGGCCTAGAATCTTCTGGCAAAAGGTTGGAGTTGGGTATTGATTGTTTGCTAGCGCTAGGAAAGCATATCTGATTCTGAGGAAATTCTACTCTGGTGGGCAGACAGATGTCCAGATCACGATCAAAGAAGCATCCCGCAGTGTCATCGATTGCGGCTGTGGCGGTGATAGTGCACTTGGAATATTTATATACCGTGCTCATGAGTGATGCCTCCTGGCGCCAATCATCCTGACAGTTTTGCAAAATGCACAGAGAATCGATCCATATATATTCCAGCCCAAGCTTTTGACAAATGATAACTGCGTGATCAAACGTCTTCATGGATTTAAGGCTAGGTATTCCTCGTGTCCATGTACTGATATTCTCACTTGTCAAGACTAATCTCTGGGTCTCTGGAATGTTGCCCCAACAGTGAGATAATGTGGCGTAATCTACTTCTATGGGAATATTCCCCATCTTTCGCAAACACAAGACCAAATCATTGATACCTTTGATGCGAATCAAGCGACTCGGTGTCCATTCTTTCAACGAAGGGGGACGAAGATGTTCACATCTTCGATGCGAACTCAGACATGTCTTTAGCCAATGATTAGCAATTACAAAGCAAGCATCGGAGCCTGTATTGGTAGTTTCGTAGTAATCAGGTAGCAATAGTCGATCTTAAACCACTATCAGTAGGTACCATGCACACAGACTTCAGGCTGTGATGAACTTGGGAATAGATAGGATACCTTTAGAAGGATCAATCTTTGTAAGAAAAATATTGCAATTCCGTCGGAATACATTGTCAGGGGCAGAGGAAATCCAGATTTCTATATTTGATTTATCACCCCATGGCACGTATAAATACCACCGGAACTTCAAATCGAAAGCTGCAAGTTCATCATCAACGATATTAAGAGCTTCTTCACCTATCTGTGCCCAAATTTTCTTGCATAGAGCACAGCCTTTATCAAGCGCCCTCTTGAAGGCATTATAAGTAGCATGGTGTTCGAATGATCCCACAAATTGTCCGAATGCGGGTTTACCTTTCGCATGAGCATCCGTTATTGTTCGAAGAAAATCCGTACAAGTTTCACAGAACATTGCAGCAGGAGACTTGTCTTTAATGATTGCAATGAGATGAATAAAATCAAAAATTGAATGCGGGGTAGAAGACCTTTTTACATGTCAGACGTGTGTGTACGTCGGACAAGCAGCCCGAACAAGACTCTGACTGGAGAACTTCTCTATCGTCCAATGAGGAAGGGGGTCGATATCGTCAAGCCCAATCGTGGCCTGACATGTGGTTAATGTTGAATGTCATGATTCTTTTTTTTTTCATTTATCTATCATTTGAACTGTTTATCGCGCAATGTTTTGTGGCAAGAAGTTTGATTTCATTCACTTAAATTGGAAAAATTGAAGCTAACATCAAAGCTTTGAGGGCGATGTCAGAATCTAGGGCTGATGTCGAGCAAATGAGTACCTACCAGACTATAAATGATGAGCTCCCAAAGTTACCCGCCTCGCTCAGTATACACGCAACTATTATTCAAGAACCATCTGCGGCTATATTGCTTTGCGATTTATGCCAGCCATGTTTTGCAGAGCCCTTGATTTACGGTTTGAGGGCATCGAACATTAAGTATTTTCTACTGAGAACCCACAAACTCGAGGATACGAGCTACACATGGTACCACCATACCAGTTACAAATCCTGGCAAGCTTCTATTGATCAAGGGTGCTACATGTGTACTTTCCTGCACAGCGCTTTTCCGGCTCACCTGTTATCAATATTGCAACTTGACGAGTCGAGAAAAATCTACAGAGGTGTCGACAGGCTGTTTCTATGGGAAGTTCCCATACCGTCGAAAAAATGAGTCCAATGGTGATATCTTCCGGATCAAAATCGAACCATGCATAAAATCGGAATCATTATCAGACCCCTTCATCCTCAACTCCGGACCAAGGTATCTTCTGAGAAAAAGCGGTATGGCAATATCCCAAATATCATTTTTAATACTGAATAACAATAGATGCAAACTCAACAACAAGAATCAAGGATCTGGGCGACTCAACGAAATCCAACCATTCCTGGGCTCTTGTCGCTAAATGGCTAAAGACTTGTCGAGAACAGCATGTCTCATGCTCCGAGAAAGATGACGGCGACCGTTCTTGGTGTCCGACGCGACTGTTGGAGCTTGGGAATGAGCCTTCCGGAGAAGATGTGGTTAAACTAATAGAAACAGCCTATGTGAAGCCAGATGGTGATTACATAACCCTTAGTCACTGTTGGGGCAAGGGAACTCTGATCAGAACACTCCGGGAAAATTTGCAAGACTTTCTGATCCAATTGCCAAGTCTCCCAAAGACATTCCAAGATGCAATTCTAGCTACAAGAATGCTTGGCGTTCGGTATATATGGATTGATAGCTTGTGCATAATTCAAGACGATGCCGATGACTGGGCAAAGGAGGCATCTCTTATGCATAAAGTGTATAAGAACGCGATGTGCAATCTGTCCGCAAGTGCTTCTAGAAATAGTTACGAGGGTTTGTTCCGGCCTAGAGCTCCTCGTTTTCTGTCAGAGTTGGAAATCAAACTGCGAAATACCGACTACGACGTTATTGAAGAACATCTTTTTGATAGGGAGGTAGAAGATGCACCGTTACAGCAAGTAAGCTATCCACGCAGCATGATCCGGTATTTCACTAATTGTTGCCAAATTCTAATTAATCTCGTAGCGAGCATGGGTTCTGCAAGAAAGACTCTTATCACCTCGAATCATTCACTTCGGGCATAGTCAACTTTCGTGGGAATGCAATGAGCTTTGCGCTTGTAAACTCTTCCCTGATGGACTGCCGGATGACTTGCATTACAATGGTAAATTACAATTGTCCCGTCTGATACAAGCTGCAGTGTCGCAAACTGAATTATCGAAATATAATGAAGTCAAATTCAGAATATGGGACAACGTGTTACAGAATTATTTCAAAAGAAAATTTACTTTTCAATCCGATATACTCCCTGCGCTATCAGGAATGGCCAAGCATATTGGAAATCTGCTCGGTGATACATATCTTGCAGGTATCTGGAAAAACGACAGCACGATGTTTCAACTTGCTTGGCACTGTACAGGGGAATTGAGCTCTCGTCCAGATTACAGAGCTCCAACATGGTCTTGGGTATCAGTGGATAGCTATAGTGCGGTGCAGGCTGCGCGTCCAAAAGACTCTGATCGAATTGATAAATCCGGCAAACACTTCTATTGCAGATCTCCCTCGAAAATTGTTGATGAACAAATTTGTTCCGCTGGCGACGACATATTCAGTCACGTTAAGGGTGGGTATATTACGGTAGAGGGGCCTTTGAACCATATTTCTATACGTTCCAGGATAGGCTATCTTGACGAAATCGAGATGGAGATAGAGTTTGATGTCTTGTTTGATGTTCCTGAGGAATTGTATATTCTTTATCTTTATCACGATGATGAGTTGGGTTACTCGCAAGATTGAGAAAATGGAGATTATCGTTATCATTATGTATATCTTGTTCTAACCACATCTACAAAGCACCCGAACTCCTATGAACGCTGTGGTTTGGCAACTGCTCAATATCTTGACCCACATGACGAGGAAAAGCACTTAGAGCCGCCTACGGATGTTCGTAATGGAGAGAAGCTAGCTTGCGAAGAGTATCTCGGAAGGGAAAGAGGACACAGATTCCGCATTTATTGACTTCGAGGTGCCTACGAATCTCAACAAGGTCATATCTGTTACGATGATAACAATAATGCAGCAACCACGGAACCTTAGGCTCAATGATTGGTTAATCATAGTAGACCCCGGGAATGGAGTAATAGCAGTATCAGCAATGTGTGGTTGATGATGATGATGACAATGATGATTATGATGATAATGAAGGATACGAAGGTCAATATAGCTAGGAGGATTTCTTTTCATTTAGAGCATGAATAATCATTACTCTGAACACTCTAGTCACCACAAATTATCATACTGTTAGTTATACAGCCCTGCTTATTACCTCAGTAGAACCTACCTCGTAGCTTCTAGTCATCCTCCTGTCACTTCTACGTGGCAACAGACTGTGTGAGCCGCGTAACAATATCTCGTTAAAGGAAATGAGAGAAAAGCGAGAATAAGTGTCTGATTTTGCAAAGCTTAATGTACCTCAAGGTGCTATTATTATATGACGAATGGATCCTGAGTTTTACTTTCCCGTGGTATCAATAAGCATTCTGTCATCACCGTTCAGAGGCTCTGCATCAACTTGCAACTCAAAATGATAGAAATATTCAACTATTTGGATGTCCAGATTTCAGAGCAGAAGTTCTTTTCCAATTTCACACAGCTCAAACGAATGACTTTTATCGAGAGGAGTGGGCTATATACTTGTCTATTCATTAGATAAACTCATTGTTTGATTTCATTTCCGTACTGCTTCCATCACAAATAACCTCCATTCATTAAATTCCAAACCCCATTCCCTCCATCCATACCCTATCATTCATCTCATTCCATTCATTTCCCTACCACTTATGCATCTCACGTACATACAAACAGACATTATACACAGATCATGACCCTCCAACAATTACTCCTTCATTCATCTCGACAAAGGACTAACCGGACTAATCGGACTCACAATCCCATCTCTACCGGAAACAATTCCTCCATTATTCCCAAGTAATCCTCTAATTCTTCTTTCTGCCTCTCTAACAGCCGCACTCTCATCCGTCCTCCCCATTGGACTTCTAAATGTTGTTGATTGAGACGCCTGAGATATTATCGAAGTTGGCGGTGGAGGGAATGATGTTTGCACAGCTTGATATGAAGATGAAGGTGTATTATATGAAGATTTTTGATATCTCGATGCAGGATTTGAAAAGTTATATCCTTCCGATCCTCCTCTTTGAAGCGAGCTTTTCCTCGCAGGATAGTAAGTAGAAGAAGGTTGAGGTATGGTACCAAAATCCGAGCCCGAACGTGATAATGAATTACTCCTCGGAATCGTAACTACTTTTGCCGTACCTCTAAGGGCTGTGGGACTTGGTGGTTGTGGCGGTACTTGTGTTCCTCTTTCCTTAAATGTGGGAGTTCCGGAGTCTAAAGGAAAGGGACCACGTTCGCGTTCTCGATCGAAAGATGAAGATAGAGCTGATGAAGATGGAATGCCTGAACTTTCCGTCGTGATGGTCTTGATAGTTGAGGCACGTGGATACGAATGATTAGTGTGGGTAACACTAATGTGAGTTTTGGGATCTGTGTTGTGGTTATTGATTGCCGAATTCGGACCTACGGCCAAAAAGCCGACTTCGCGTCCTGGGTAATTCTGTGGTTGATATCGGTTTTTAGTCGATGATATTGCATTTGCTCCAGTGGAAGGAATAATTATAGGCGTGTGAGCCATTTCGCTCTTGTTTGTTATGGTCGTTCCGCTTGGACTGGTGTTACGCTGTGAGGTAGACTTCAATGTACCGGGGCCTTCATATCCAGGCAACTCAGCAACACTATTCCGTGGGCGTTTGGCTTTCAGACGATACCAGAAACTATTGGATTTATTCTTGACAGTGGAAGTCGTGGTATCCATCCATGTATTGGGATGAGTAGGCGGTGGTGGGAAAAATGGAAGAATAGATCCGTCTGGATCAGCCTTTTCGGACGATGGATGCCGACGCCTATATCTAACAACGAAGAAGAGAAAGAGACCAGCCAGAGCAGCTATACCTAAAGTGACAGGAACAGCGATCACTATTCTCTTATGAGCACTGGCTGTGAGAGTCGGAGTCTGTATCGGAGTTTCTGTAACAGGCTGAGGAGAGGCAGTGGGCGTTGGTGTAAAGAAGATGGTTGTTACGAGAGACGAAGGTGAAGTAGTCGCTGAAACGACAGGTGTCAAAGGAATAGTCGTAACGAGTACACCATCAGTTGGATTGTGAATCACCCCGGAATTTGTGATCTGAGCGGATGACAGAGAGCGTACATTAGCCATACCCAGAGATACTTGATCTTGCGATTCGTCTCGAATTACAGAATCCGGCCCATCTGTGGTATTGCACGCGGCATTTGCAGCGCTGATAGAAGGGCTAAAATCTCTGCCCGTCATGTTCGTGAGGGAGAAACGAGGTGAGAAGTTTGTGAGAACTGGAATGGAAGTTGATGGATAGTTCGTCGCGTTTATGGGGTTTGATTGAATGCCGAAGAAACTGATATTTGTTAAATCAACTGACCCGAGTGACACGAAAGCAGTATGCCCAACTATCCGAACTGATGGACGGGATTGTAAATGCTGCGAAAGTGATTGCTTACTAGGAATTGTTTGCATTGGGTCCGATGTTTGAGTTGAGGTGTATAGTTGCATTATATGTTCCAACGGGAATGACCCATTCATTTAAAATTTGCTATGCAAACATCAGCAACTTACTCAAAATACTTTTGGAGGCAGAAAACTTCCACATACCATAACATTATTACTTCCGGTAAACAAGACCAACAAATGACTACCCATCTCCTCGATCAAAAGCGCATTTCCATCTTCCCTCCACCAAAGAGTGACATCTCCCGAACCCAAGGTGGCTCCTGGATAGGGCCATGTGAAAGCAACATCTGCCTTGATGCACGCCAGAAAAATGCAAAATGCGAGGAGAGAGACCAGACGTTGCATCTTCAAGTAAGGTCTTCTTCAAAACCACAAATATGCATTTTCCAAAGGAATACTTGATGACCAAAAAAAAATCCAAAAGTAAAATCAGATAAAAACCTCACGTATAGGGACATGATCATTCTTATTAGAACCCCCGCAAACAGACTCGCATATCATGCAAGAAAAGATATATTTGTGTAAAATGAACAAACGATACCACGCCACCACAGATACTACCACACCAAATGAGAAATAAAAACAATTGTGCCGAGCGAGAAGGCAGTAAGTGGTTACTTACGATTACTGTTCCATGAATACTGTTGGCCCTTGCATATACTGACAGCTGTGCCGCTCAACCTCGTCAATTTAGAGAATCTTCATTCGTTGGACCGAGGCAACTGCGCCTCTTCCCGCCGCTAATGTGGTCAGATTGTACTGCATGTTATTGAAAAAAAATGTAAGAAAGATAAATAGATATCTTCATTAGATGTAAATGTTTGTTCGTTGGAGAAAAGTGTTTCGATTGAAGAACAACATGTTATAAAAATCTGGCAACTTTACAATCGCTAACTATTTTCCATATAGAAAATGTTGTATAATTTTAGAATTCAATGAAAAAAGGATATTGAATTGGGTATCAAACTCGGTATAGTTAAATAAGGGCGAAGGATGAAAAAGGTTGTATTGAAGCTGCGCTGTAACATTCGAAAAAGAAAATCCTTCATTGTGATCAGGCTCCAAGGATAGCATACATTTATGTAGTACAATGGTACATTAACTGGGGGAACAAACTTCCAGTACCTACACGGTGTACCATTCATGATTCGTCAAACACAGGACGGAAAGGTTATGAAAACATACTCGCACGTTGTTGAAGATTGTTTTCCATACAGAACAAGTGGCTTTTTGGCTGTCTCGAAAAGTTGGTTGAAGGTGTATGGAAATGATACTTTACTTGCTTGCGTCAGAGACATGATTGTTGGTCGCGTAAAAGTTATTTAAAGATGCAAAGAGGTCAGGGAATCCACTTCATATCTTCATATCTCCATATCTCCCTATAGTATAGTATAGTGCAAGATACCTGGGTGCCCTCCTTGTACCCTCGTGCGGGGTTTCCTGAGTAGGAAGGTATCACTTGCCTAACCGAGTATAGCAACTTCAATTTCGCCATTCTTACATGCAGTCTGCCCGAGTAATCCTTCGCTACTACAAGGAGTAGATTGAAAATGAAGATCTTTGTAAACGAGAAGATTCATTGTCTCAACGAGGATATCCCAATGTTCGTGTCAGAATTTCATTCACGGGGAATACGTGGGGGTTTTACTAAACGAAAAATTCTAGATCGCCAGTGGGTGTATGGATTAACAGGACACTTCCCAACTTCCAATATTTTCAGCAAATTCATTTTTTAATTGTTTGATATCAGATTTCACATTTTGATTGTTTTATCTCTAATCATCAATTGTAACAATTCCTAGAATAAACGATCTGAAACATCAAGAGATATTCACAAGTCCATTTTTGCAGTATCCGTCAGTCCGTACACCCAATTGCGTACACCCACTGGTGGATGTTTGAAGAAAGACCGCCTTTTATTTTTCGTTTCAATAAACCAAAACGACAGGTTCGTGTCTTTGATCTAATTTCAGAAATCCGTTTAGCAATCAAGGCTCCCTGTAGCCTATAAAATTGCGCTTCACTTGTCAACTCGTGACACCATTCTAAACTTCTCACACCCAGTCATGTGACAGACTCTTACACCAGAACACAATCTGTTCAAAATCGTCAGATGTATTTGAGACACTATTTGGTCGACAGACATGGACTGTAGCATCGAAGTGTGCTATTTAGTAGCTCTGATAGCTATCAATTTGTTTCGTGCATCGTGTGTCTCTCAAGCTCTTTCCACTTTCCAAAACCTTGCAACTACCCCTATCAATCCACAGGCAGCACTTACTCCGGTGAATACTATCACCGCTCCATACTCAGTGCCATAACCGCCTCCCAAACTCCCAAACCCTCCATACTGAACGAGCAATTCAGTAACTGGTCCACATGCTACGCTTCCCACTCCTCTTCCTGCGCTAAATAGACCCATCAATACACCAAAACCAGCGCTGCTATCTGCACGTTGGACCTCTCGTATCATTCCTGCCCAGATAGCACTCCACCCTCCTGCAAAAGTTCCATAGATAATGGTAAATGTAATTAGAGATGGAAGGGAGGTTGAAATGCCCCATAGCATAAATACAGATAGAGTAGATAGAGTAGATGAGAGAAGTATGACGGTAGTTATATGCCTGACATCCGAAAGATGGCCTAGTGAAATAGCTCCGATCACGGAAAAGAAATTCAGGAGTGCGATGAGTGAAGTTCCAAGCACAGGGGAGAATGAAAGCGAAGCGCTATACGACGAAAGATAAATGGAAGGTGCGAAGAATCCAAGTGAGGACAAGATATTTGCTATCTGCAGAAACCAGAATATGGGTGACCTAAGGAATGTGTAGCTTGGTTTTGATGGTGGTTGGCTAGAGAACTTCGTTGGAATCCTCGGTTTGATATAATAGATCAATGGGCAACAAAGTAGGAACAAGATAGCAGCCCAAATCCGAAGAGTACCGCGGAATCCGCATCGATCGACAAGATATGACAGGAGAAATGGGAAGATGAGACCTGAAGTTCCCACACTGGCAAAGTTAGCTCGAGCTTTGGGCTACTGATATTCCATGCTTACCCTGACCACATAACACCAAGTGCGAGACCCTTTCGCTTGACTATCACACGGTCAGTAAAATGTAAGTAGAAATTACTGCTAAAGTAAAATGAGGAAGCAACGCGGTAGTAAAATTAAGGAAATATGGGAAACCCAAACAGAATTAGACATTATAATGATGCAAATTGTCCAACCATAGTTGAAAATGGCAATGCATTGGGACAAGCAAAAAAGTTTGGACCATAACTGAGAAAATAATAATTACTTACCGAACCATTGGTCGAGATAGAATATTGTTGGAGAGTACAAAAGGCTGCCCCCAATAGCATATAGAAATCCTTGAGTAGTAATGAGGTGCCAAACTTCTGTAGCGAAACTAGCTGCAACTAGGGCTATCACTACAATAACAAGTCCCAATATTGAAGATAGCCTGCGAGTTGGCGGGAACGTCTCCAGAACGTAGAGGGAAATGGATGCAAAAAGATACACTAATGATGACTTGTAAGTACTTAATGAGGAGCGGAATCGAGAAGGGAGTGAAATGGTTTCATAGAAGCATCTAAATAAGATAAAATTTTGCACATACTGATTCCAGTAGCACAAGTTCCTGTAATAGCTATATCGTTTGCATGTTTATCGAAGGGCGGGTGAGTAGAGTAGTACGTCTGGAAAACTCCAAAAGCGAACGGAAATCCTGTTGATGTGTTAGTTGAAATGAAATTCTCAATTTCTTTTTGATATGTTTCTATTAAAGCAATCGTAGTTTTGAAAATTCGATAAATATGGTGATTTTCAGTGCTGTTCAGAAAATTGACGCGATGAGGCGGACCTGCACAGGAAGGATCACTTACCCCAGATTAATGCTTCGAATAAAAAGTGTGCAGCTAAGAACAGCCAAGCATCTTTACCTCCATCTGCTCTGGGAACGTTTCCATCCGTGTTGTCAGGGTCATTGATTCCTTCCTCCAAATCTCGAGTGCTTGCATTTGAAAGCGGAATTTCAAGATCTGCAACAGCCGGTTGAACTTTAGTTTCATCTGCGTCAGAGCCGAAGAATTTCCTCAAAGGGAGATTCGAAGATAGATGCGCCATTGGGTGAAGGAAAATGTGAAATGGTTAGAGAGCACGATTTATATTCTTCTAGTTGCAGTGTGAAATTGAAAACCTCAAGCAAGAGAAATTTTAACTCAACGCTTTCTAAATACGCGGCGCAAGAATGAGTGAATATATGAAGGTGGAGATGTATGTTGGAAGAGAGGTCTGTCGCTTGGTGCGCAATACCTTGGTGCGAGGTGCATCGCACCTTCTCTTCTTGGGCAACACTTTCCGGCCATATACTTTGTGATCACCAACATGATGGTTACGCAAGCTTCAATTTCTGAATCTGGTAACCAGACAGGTGCATGATTCGTTCGAGTTATTATCTCCGGTGTGAGTTTGATGACGGTTGTGAGTCGTAAGTGAATCCCGGTAAATATCCAAGAGACGCAAGCAATCGGCTTCTTTGCCTCGAATCTACCTTCTGCTGCAGTTTGTCGATTTCCATTCAGTAAACTAGCTCTCGAAGTTGGGGTACCAATCTCCATACGTCCAGGAGATGCGGCTCTAGCCGAAAAAAGATCGCGATGTAACTTAAAGACAGCCAATTTTTTAAACTTTTCATCACTGATCCCGTCGAACCCTTTGCCAGATCACGCCCAACTGCAGGAACAAATTCCGTGGTCAAACCAGGTGATCGCTCGGCCCGTGTACGAATGACACCAAATACCGAGTGGAAAATGCTAAAGGCAAGGCTGCAGTCCAGTAGATTTTGAAATAGAATACCGGTAGAGTGGTTCACCAAGCATTCTAGCAAGTTTGGCAACTAGATCTTCGCAAGCAGGGCAATCTGCAGTGGGATAAATTCCGTCATCTAATATCGAAGAACCTTGCCGCCAAAGCTTTGTTGGCATTTGATTGGCTTTCCATATTGCATGGTACGATGCAACCCAGTGGGAGTCGAGTTGGAAACAAGACTCCCATTCATGTACGAGTAGATTGCTCTAGATGCAAGATAAGTGAATGACACCATCTTAGCTACATGAGTTTGCTCAGAAATTGTCCTCCAGATGAGACACCATAGCGTCATTCCAGCACCAAGAAGGCGCAGCTAAAAAGTTGTATTCTTGCTCACTAACTATTTTAGTGGACGCTCTTTCTTCAGTGGAAGTTCCATGCAGCGGGGAAGTATTACCACCCGTCGCTCCCGCTGGTTTCCAGATGGGGCTTGCCCTAGCTATATTGGAACTTCCTAGAAGAGACGGTTCTTATCAGGTGCCAAGCGTTCATATGATATGCTTCATCCAATAGTGGTACAGACCCGTGTACTTTGCTTGTTGGTTGGTCGTTGGTTGTTGATTTCTGGTATCATGCACGGTTAATGTTACTCTGTGGGTCTGGAATCTAAGTCCCCGGCTATAATACCCCACAAGAAGCGGAATTCGGCATATCTCGAGAGGTTGTCGGGCTGCAATATTGAAGAATTTCCGAAATATAGTACCAACAACGCTAGCAGTTTCACACTCAAGTGCCTTGCACTCCTTTCACCGTCGATGTACGGATAGGTATCAAATAAGCTTTACCCATGGAAAGATTCGCTCTAGAGTGGCTATCGTACTCGGTATGTAGGAATGAGGCGTCTTCAAATGAGTGTCGGGCCGACATGAGAAGGCGATACGGCATAGGCCCGGTCTTGATGTTGGAGAATGTTGACTTGCTAACTTTGGTTGCACGCTCTCAAGGGACAACTTTCATCGATATTCACGATGCTTTGCCTTGAGCTAGACTTTCCGCTGTGTCGTAAACTGAGTACTCAGTGAACTTTCTGGTATTGAATGTCCAGATGGCTCAAATCTTCAAGGATGATGTCGAATTTAGACATTATTTGAGGTCGGAAAGGTTGCTTTCAAGGGATACTGAGATAGAAACGAACAGAGGAGGCTCGGTGTATTGTCCAAGAGAAAGCAATTTCAGTCACATTGTGATTGATCCGGGGTATAAGTTGTTGCTACACTGTTGTAGCCAATAGGAGCGTTTCAAGGTGCCAAGAATTATGTTTACTGCCCGTATTAGCATGTGCCTTTCGAGTTATGCCGGGGTGAGAGAATACCTCGGCGACCCAAATACCGTGAGATATATACAACACTAAATAAAATCGGTCGGTCCAACAGCCTTTGGATAGCATCTGTTGACCGAAAATGTTCTAAGCACACGGCGGATGAATAACATCATAGCTGCCGAAGTCGATTGGAAACGCAGCCAGCCACTCGTCCGTTAGGTGTGGTTTGATTGGTTTCACGGGGAGACGGGAAGTCCGACAAGATGAAGGTTTTCTTAAAAAAGATATTGCTATATTAAAAGCTTATAGAATAAAGGCTAGTAGGAAGCATACTGCCTAGAGAGATACCGCCGTTCAACATTCAGTTTCTGTCAACAAAATATTTGGACGGAGCGTCCGTAATTAAACAAAACGTAATCGAGCAGCTTTGTAATGGAGATTCCGAAAGAAAATGTGTTAGGAGCAATCGGGTAAGGGCTTTCTAACCATCTTATACAAGTCTCGGTTATGAACTCCGGTGAACTCTGGTCCCTCATCGTGATCTTTTATTCCATGAGATAAATTCCAGACTACTTAAACCTACAAGGTTGCAATGACAATGATCCAATCTCGTACATACAATCTTATCATCCGTGACCAATCTGATAGTCCGGAAGGGAGCTGCTTGTCAAGTCTTGCGATTGTTCATATGCTCTCCAGATTTTAAAACACCTGATTGGCAAATTATTCAGGCAGTCTTCTTCCATTGACCATAAACACCGATCAAACTGCTCAAAGTGCCTGCCAATCCAACAATACCATCATCGAAGTTAGCCAAGCCGATTGCCGAACTTGGAACTGTGAGATCGCAGAGATCTGATAAGAGTTGCATATTGATCGCAGCACGTTCCCTATACCGAGAGATTAGCAACAAGTCTGAGACGGATATCTGCGAGGCTCAACCTACTTTTCGATCCTCTTACTCGTCACAACACTTTCTCCATCTTTCTTATCAATTTTTGCAGATTGTTGTCGTAGGTTATACAAAGAGTACATTCCCGACGCCGTGCTAAACAACAGTCCCATCAACCAGAACCTATAGGCCTCCTTCTGTATCCTCTTCGTCGAAGGGCTCTTCCTAATACCTGCAGCATCCAACACTGTGAACGCATCAAAAGTTAAATAACCTGCATATCCTAATTGCCTTCCAACAGCGCAGTACTTGATTACCGGATCAAGACTTTTAGAATCCGCAGCGATGGCGGCTGCTTTCAAATGTTCGACATTCTTGCCAAAGCGCATTAATTTGCGCGCGAGTCCGAACTGTTTTTTGATGGCCTCGTAAGGTGCAATTTCACTAGGAGTTCCATTGGTGCGAAGGAGATACCAGGCGTAAAATCTGGAAAAGTATTGAAGGGTTCGAAGGAGCTTATCGCGACCAACGGTTGTTGCGACAAATTTGAGGTAATGTGCAACGGATGGGTGGTAAACTAGAGTGTCGGCAACCATCTTGATAATGTGAGTTGTGGGATTAGGAAATCGAAGGAACGTATTGAGAAACTATGAACAGAGATGTTAGATTATAAGGTTGGAAACAAAAAGGGCGTTTGAAGGCATGAGATGATGAGATAGATGGCTTGTGAAAGGGATATGGCTATCTTAATGCCTCGGTAGTATGGGGAATCCTTGGCCCGATGATTTAACAAGCCGAAGTCTAGTTTTAAGGCACTCATGCAAACTTCATGGAGCATGGCTCATGGCTAGTGGAAGGCGAGTCACGTTTTGTGAACCTTAATTAAGACTAGAATTATTATCAAGATACCTACCTACCTAGCTGGCGAACTATTATTTACTGATAACTACCTACCTATTTTCACGTTTTTCTTGTCATGCCGAAAGTTTGAATTACATCCGACTTCATCTTTTCTTCTACCCCCTCTAAGGTTACTCCTTTTAGTACAATTAAAGCACATTCCGAGATGCCCGAAATCGCGGAGGGTAAACCCACCAGCTCATCTCCATCACCAGCTACTATGAAATGCTGACTTGACCTTACAGTTGCGCGAGCTGTGCACTATATTCGAAAATGTCTTGTCGGCAAAACATTGGCGGTCGTCAACGCTCAAGATGATGCCAATGTCTTTGGAAAGGTCGGAACAAGTGCTGCCGAATTCCAGAAGGCATTGACTGGTAAGAAGGTTGAGAGTGCTGGACAGCAAGGAAAATACTTCTGGTTGGGCCATTCTTGCTGCTTCGAGAATAAATGCTAAATTGTTGTGACAGGATGATCATGTCCTCGCCACCACATCCAGTGTTCCACTTTGGCATGACGGGTATGGAAATAGCCAAAGTTATCTCTTGACAAGTGCTGAACAATTCAGGATGGTTTCATATTCGAGGGCAAGGCTCTTACTATTATAGATCGAAAAATGAGGATGAAAAGGAAGCCTGGCCGCCAAAGTTCTCGAAATTTTCACTCCAAACAGCCGGAGAACCAAAGGTTGAGGCTGCATTCACAGATTCACGTAGATTTTCAAGGATTCGACTGGTAAATTGTGTCGCTGAAGCCATTCGAGACACGTCTCCACTTAAAGAGAACGGTCCAGATCCTGTCATTGATAAAGACATCTTGACAGTTGAGTGGCTCGAACAAAAATTGAACAAGAAGCAGGTGCCAATAAAGGCATTATTACTTGACCAGGCGAATATCAGTGGAATTGGAAATTGGGTCGGGTCAGTGAATCTCACATTTACCCCAATCTAATTGTTCGACTCCGAACTATCCAGCCTGCCATTATTATTTCACTCCCGGTTACCAAATTCACCCTCGATGTCCAATCATGCTAACATCACTCGAAGCGATGAAATACTATACAATGCACGACTTCATCCTGAACAATATAGTAATACGTTTAGCTCCGAAGAGATCAAGCGATTGCACACTTCGATGTTGTCCATTTGTCAAACAGCAGTAGACTTGTTGGCAGATTCGTCAAAATTTCCCGATGACTGGATGTTCAAGCATCGATGGGGGAAGGGGAAGAAAGATGGCCCAACAGCATTACCAAATGGGGAGAAAATCACCTTTCTTACCGTTGGGGGAAGAACTTCTTGTGTGGTGCCAAGTGTACAGAAGAAAACAGGTGCCGTTGCTGGTGATATGAAGAAGAGAAGTACGTCGAGTGAAAGTGAGGATGTCAAGGATGTTCCAGTGAACAAGCAAAGCTCGAGGAAGAGGAAGGTTGCCGTAGCATCCACAAAATCAGAAGAAACCGATGAATATATCATGGAGCGCAAGAAGGTGAAAGCCAGATCTCAAAAACCAATTCGGGGGAAAGAGGTGATTCTAAATAAAGATGCGGGGCTCATTTCCACAAAAGCAAAGAAGCTGACTAAGGGAAAGATGTCAAAATCTACCGAATCAAAAGTCACGGAAGATATTGAAATGATTCAACCGCGACGCAGATCTAGCCGTCAGGCAAAGCCTGTTGTATCCCTTTAAAATGGGGATAATGTACTATACCGAACGACTCATCCGTTCTTCAATTGTATTAAATATGGGGGGAGATATTATATTTTCATGTACGGATCTTTGCCCGATTTGTTTACTTCTCCATACCATAAATGATTGCTTACCTCAAAGTTTGTTCACGGGTACGATCGTAAATTCGCAACCTTAATGTGTCTGGAATGGGTGGCGTCTAGCTCTAGACAACAAGAATTCTTCGCTCGTTGAAACAGGAAATGGATCATTTAATACTCTATTCATTAGGGAGTATTGCCAGTGCATTGGCATCCATCATATTATTAGTCGAGTGTGGAGTGTGAGCTTGTAGTCAGAAAGTTTCTATCTCGGATGTTCGCAGCCGCCGCTAAACCCCGTACCCATAAGGAATGAGGGTTAGGTAGGTATGTACATAAGTCTCAGCAGCGTATTCGGGTTTTGGCCTTGGCACTCTTAGTTGTGATTGATGAGATAAGTGTCGATAAGGCTGAATGTGACTGGACCAGGTTCAATTAATCAAATTCGAATATGAAGCATGCCCATATAATAAAGTGGATGTTGGGATGTTGAAAAGAAGCTAAAGAGTAAATTTCTGGGTTTTCCTGTCAATGCCACAAATGGGTGTGAGAATAGCAAGCGAATCAAATTCTATCATTCGGAACACGGGAACTTTTCTAGCCGTCATCCAGTTTATATGGTGAGCATTTAACCCCACCCCTCTCATCTTGATTTACTTACGAGACTATCCATCTGCCTAGCTATCCGCCAATCTCTCAGCCAAGCTCTCAACCAATCAACACACACAAAACTTGAAGCCTCTTTCGTATATACGAGCTCGAAACGAGTTTGCTTTTCCAAAAGATTAACCATGCAGAATTTAGGAACTTCGAAAGCCTCCTAGAACCTCCTGAGAATCCTGAGACTTTCTTCGGTTCTCCATAATTTCATTCCTTAATATACGGAACTAGTCTTTCATTCTACATATCATTGTCATTGGCTGTACTCGGAAGAAGCTTACTCCTCTCCGCCCAGACGGCGGATGTACAGTGGAATTTAGATACCCGAGCTTTCTACTTGCCACCACAAGCTTAAAGAACTCCTATCTCACTCCTGTCATACTTTTTTGAGCAGTTTGTTATTTTACAGTGAAAGAATTTCTTCTTCACACCCTTTGCACCCAGAATCATTTAATAATTTCCTCTTAATTTCTTAATTTTATCCGGACTTAGTGTTGATCGAAGCAGGAATACAGTATGGCCACTTCGGCACCTTTTGGGGTTCTACCTCAAAGCGAGGCCGTTGCTGAGAAAGCGGATGAGGTCATTCAAGAAAAGACATATCAAAACATCGGTCATAAACGGAAAGACAGTGATTCGGAATCCTCGACTTTAGACTCCACGAGAGAAAGGGAAGATGCTACCATTCGAACACTTGCAAGGCAAATCACGCAAAAGTCTATGGAAGGGAATCACGATCCGAATATCAACCCGTTTCTTGGATCAGATGACCCTAGACTCGATCCATCGTCGGGAAAGTTCAGTTCTAGAGCATGGACAAAACATCTTGTCCACCTTCAATCTCGAGACCCAGAAAGATATCCCAACAGGACAGCAGGAATCGCCTATAAGAACTTAAATGCTCATGGATTTGGTGAACCAACCGATTACCAAAAGACTTTTGGTAACTACCCATTGGAAATTATCGGTATGGGCAAAAGGGTTCTTGGGCTCAGCAAACCCACCAAAATTCAGATTCTGAGAGACTTTGACGGACTTATCAGAGGTGGAGAAATGCTTGTCGTTCTTGGTCGACCTGGTTCTGGATGTTCAACTTTACTCAAGACGATCTCTGGAGAGACTGCTGGATTCTTCGTTGATAGTAACACATACATCAACTACCAGGGAATACCAATGGAGACTATGCACAACGATTTCAGGGGGGAATGCATATACCAAGCCGAAGTTGATGTACATTTTCCTCAATTGACTGTGTCACAGACATTAGGCTTTGCAGCTAAGGCCAAAGCTCCTCGCAATCGCATACCTGGTGTTACACGGGAACAATATGCAGACCATCTTCGAGATGTCACCATGGCCACTTTTGGGCTCTCGCATACTTTCAATACAAAAGTTGGTAACGATTTCATTCGTGGAGTCAGTGGTGGTGAGAGAAAACGTGTCAGTATTGCGGAAGCTGCTGTGGGTGGAAGTCCTCTTCAATGCTGGGATAATAGTACAAGAGGTTTAGATTCTGCGACTGCATTGGAATTCGTCAAGACTCTTAGAAACTCCACCGAATTGACTGGCTCCACAGCGGTTGTAGCCATTTACCAGGCCTCTCAGTCAATTTATGATCTTTTCGATAAGGTGGCTGTACTATACGAAGGAAGGCAAATATACTTTGGTGATATTCACGCGGCGAAGACATTCTTCATCAATTTAGGTTTCGATTGCCCAGCTCGACAGACAACCGCAGACTTTTTGACTTCCATTACATCGCCAGCAGAGAGAATCGTTCGACCTGGATTCGAAGGCAAGACTCCATACACCCCAGATGAATTCGCCGCAGTTTGGCAAAAGAGCAAGGATAGAGCACAACTGCTCCGGGAGATCGATCAGTTTGATGCGGAGTTCCCCATTGGCGGACAAGCCCTTGACGACTTTAAGAATTCGAGGAAGGCAGTTCAGGCTAAGGGTCAGCGTATTAAGAGTCCATATACTATTTCACTTCCTATGCAAATCAGGTTGTGCGTGGAGCGTGGATTTCAGAGACTTCGGGGTGACATGTCTCTTCTCTTGACAGGTCTCATAGGTATGTTTTAGCTCATAGATATGTACTGACCCATTCACTAACCTTATACTTTAGGTCAAAGTGCGATGGCTTTAATTATTGGTAGTGTTTTTTACAATCTTCCGGACGATACCAACAGTCTGTATAGCAGAGGTGCACTCCTGTTCTTTTCCATCTTGATGGCAGCATTCCAGAGCGCACTGGAGATTCTTACTCTTTACGCGCAAAGACCAATCGTTGAGAAGCATACCAAATACGCTTTCTATCATCCAGTAGCAGAAGCTTGTGGGTCCATGTTGTGCGATATACCGAATAAATTATTCTCGACTATCTTCTTCGATCTCGCTCTTTACTTCATGACAAATCTGCGAAGAGAACCAGGGTATTTCTTTGTATTCTTTCTCTTCACCTTTTTGTGTACTTTGACAATGTCTATGTACTTCCGGTCTATTGCTTCACTATCGCGAAGTTTGTCAGAGGTTCGTATTATTTCCCATACATGTGACACCTTTCAAGGTACTAACAAGAATAGGCAATGGCACCAGCTGCCATCTTCATCCTTGCCATCGTCACTTATACTGGATTTGCGGTCCCAATTCGAGATATGCATCCATGGTTTAGGTGGATCAATTATCTCGACCCGGTTAGTTATGGATTTGAGGCTTTGATGATCAATGAATTCCATGGCCGAAAGATTCCTTGCTCGGTGTTTGTACCTTCCGGTGGCAACTACACAAACGTTGGCGCGGATGAGAGAATTTGTTCTACTACTGGTGCCGCAGCTGGCGCAAATTACGTTGATGGTGATAGATACCTCGAAGTCAATTATGGTTACTCCCATACCCACCTCTGGAGGTGAGTACTGAATTTTAGACTCGTTTTCGAGACTAGCTAACATTTTTTGTAGGAACCTCGGTGTCATGATTGCATTCATGTTCTTGGGCCTCTTCGTCTACTTAAGTGCCAGTGAATTTATATCTGCAAAAAAGTCCAAAGGAGAAGTCCTTCTATTCCGTCGTGGTCGCATACCTTACGTTTCGAAGACATCTGATGAGGAAGCAAAGATGGATGATCGAATGACTGCTGCGACTGTCACCAGAACAAAGACGGTTCCAGATGCACCACCTAGTATTCAGAAGCAAACTGCCATATTCCATTGGGACGATGTTCATTATGACATAAAGATCAAGGGTGAGCCTAGAAAACTACTAGATGGGGTTGACGGATGGGTCAAACCTGGAACACTGACTGCTCTTATGGTAAGCTCTTCCAACGTTCAATCCTCGCGTGATCTATCTAATCAAATCCTCTTAGGGTGTCTCTGGTGCGGGAAAGACCACCCTTCTCGACGTCCTTGCCTCGCGTGTAACTATGGGAGTTGTCACCGGACAGATGCTCGTAGATGGACGACAAAGAGATATTGGTTTCCAAAGAAAGACAGGTTACGTTCAACAACAGGATCTCCACTTGGCTACATCTACTGTTAGAGAAGCACTAGCTTTCAGTGCCGTTCTTCGTCAGCCTAAAGCCACTCCACACGCCGAAAAGATTGCCTACGTTGATGAAGTTATCAAGGTTTTGGAGATGGAAGAATACGCCGATGCTATTGTTGGGGTTCCAGGTGAAGGTACGTACTCGTCTTCATTTGCACTTGCTTTTTGGTATTTAGTCTCACAATTCATCTAGGTCTTAATGTCGAACAACGTAAACGCCTTACAATTGGTGTGGAACTTGCAGCAAAACCGGCCCTTCTTCTATTCCTTGATGAACCTACTTCTGGTTTAGACTCTCAAACAGCCTGGTCTATCTGTGCATTGCTACGTAAGCTTGCAGACAACGGTCAAGCTATTCTCTGCACAATTCATCAACCTTCCGCCATTCTTTTCCAAGAATTCGATCGTCTATTGTTCTTGGCTAGAGGTGGAAGGACTGTATACTTCGGCGAAATTGGAGAGCATTCAAAGGTCCTGACTAATTATTTTGAGCGCAATGGTGCTCCTCCTTGTGGAGATCTAGCCAACCCTGCAGAATGGATGCTTGACGGTAAGATTAATCTTCGCATGGCGTTTTGTGGCCTTCACTAACATTCAATATAGTCATTGGTGCCTCTCCAGGAGCCAGCAATACGATTGACTGGCCTGAAACCTGGAAAAATTCTCCAGAACGTCAACAAGTCAAGTCGCACCTCGCAGAGTTGAAGACTACAC